GGTCGAGATCGGAGGTGCAGAGAGGAGCTCGTCGGAGCGGACAGCGTGATTAGGCGACGGTCGCCGGAGATCCAGCTCGCCGGAGCAGAGGGATGAGGATGGCGTCGATTTGGGAGGGCGAGAGATGAGCTGCGGGTGTTGAGTGGAGAGAGAAAAAAAATTGAGCTGAGGGAAAATCTCCTCTTTAGGGTTTGGCCAACTTTTGACTCCGCTAATTTATATCCTGCGAAAATATGAAGCCTGCGAACTCATTTTCGAGCCTTCGAAATTTTATTTCTGTCCATGAATTCTATCTTGCCAATTTTTACAGTCTGCGAATCTAATTTTTGAGCCCGCAAAATTTAGCTGCAGCCCAAGAATTGTAGCCCGCGAAAATGCTCCATCTAGCGAAACCAAATTAGAGCCCGCGAATTTCAGCAACTTCAACACTTAGAAATATTTCACTACTTTTCAACCCCAATTTTTTTTTTTTAAATCAACTTCTTAGTAAAATTTTTCGCTCGATTCCCAGCTCTTTCTTTTTTTTTCAGCTTTTTTTTTTGGCTCGGCTCTAACAAATCGGTACTGCCGAGCAGGTCGGCACGAGCTCTTCAAATTAATTTACATACTTAACTCAAATTTTCTACACTTCGCCATACTCCAACCCAAATTTCAACAAAAGCTCGGCTCTGAGTCCCATTTACTTCTCCAAAAATATTGTGTGTCGTGTGCTTTGCGGGGCTATTTATTTTCGAACAAAAATAAAAAACGAGAAAATGCAATAACCGTGGGTTGCCTCCCACGAAGCGCTCGATTTAACGTCTTGAGCTCGACGTCCCCCACGGAAATCAACCAGGATCCAAGAAAAAGTGTCGATCATGCCACGCCTTTGTATTTTTCAATAGTAGACGAGTCGGTAGCACCGAACAAAGGCGGGCTAAATGAACTCTCGTGGCCAAATTCTTGTGAAACCGAGCACGAATATCAACAACAACCAATGAGAGAGATGAATCTTTACGAACCGAGGCCCCATACTCGACCTCCGAAAATATAAAAATATCCGTAGAGCACGTCGAATCAATCCCGGGCATCATTTGCATTATCTCGAACGTGTACTCATCAAGCTCAAGCATCGGGAGTACGGGCGTAGGCACACTAAACTCCTCCAAATGGTCACGGTCCTCAACAATACGAAATGATGACCCAAAGGACATAGGAACCACATCATACTCAACATCACAAGTCGACTCATCAATCAACGCACACCTCGGGTCAACGATATCACATAAAGGCTCAAAATTCTTCTCAACTTCATCCATAACATCATTATCTACCACGTCCTCCTCTTTAAAATCATCCTCTCGAGCACTATCAACATTGCTAAACACAATCGAATCCTCCAATAAATTTTCCCCCATCCCATACACAATATCAACACCCGAATCCATACACCCACTCTCAACAATAGAATCAAAGCTCAAAACACTATCACCAGAAGAGAAATTTGACGTACCGAATGTAGAATGTACGGCCGAATCATCAAAAGAGGAAATTTCTTTAACAATCAAATCGTCGATGTCCTCACTCGTGTCGAGAGATTGTGTTCCATCATAAATGAGAGTGAGGCCCACCTCTTTCAAGGAGGCAAACCTATCCACCATAGCTTGAAACTCGCCTTCTAACCGAGTGCTCTCTTGAATAACCCTCGCCGATAAAGAACAATATTTACCGAGCGAAATGTGCAATGCATCCAAGTCGAGAAAGGATACCACGGTAGAGTCGAACTTCTCAAGTGTAGCTTGAAGAACGGATGGAATCGGAATGCATCTCCAACTATAAAACTCCTCAATGATTGACGCG